CTTGCCGGGTTATAGCTGGCGTCGGGGAAGCCCGGGATGTGCGCGTTACGGTGAATTTCCAGTTCCAGGCGAACCCTGACTATCAGCTGAGCGGAGACGACACCCAGCACATCCAGCAGTTCTACGATCTCCTGACCGGCTCCATGGAGATCATCCGAGGGTGGGCAGAGAAGATCCCCGGCTTCACCGATCTCCCTAAGACGGACCAGGACCTGCTCTTCGAATCCGCCTTCCTGGAGCTGTTCGTGCTGCGGCTGGCGTACAGGTAAGCGGCCAGAATCCGAGGGGGGGAACTTCTGGGCAGCGAGGAAATCACATCCTTTCAAGGTCCGCTGGTCTGCGTTTTATTAACTCCTCGGTAATTAGGTGCCTCTTAAATCCTTCATTTATTGCTCCTCGAGTAATTAGTTGTTTAGCTTTTCTCCCCCCATCTCCTCTTTTTCTTCCTTTTTTTTTGCCAACCTTTCTTCCCCTTTCTCTCTTTTTCTTTCTTCTCTTTCACTCTCTCTATTTTCCTTTCCTTCTCTCACCCCCCTCCTCTTGCTCTTTTTCATCTTTTTGTCTTTCCCCTTCTCTTTCTTTCTCTTTCTTTCTCTTTCTCTTCCTATCCGATTTTTCCTTTCTCGCTCATTCATTCTTCTGTTCGTTTTGGGGTTGTCACATTCCTTCCAGGTCAAATCCGGTGGAGGGCAAGCTTATCTTCTGCAATGGGGTAGTCCTGCACCGGTTGCAGTGCGTCCGCGGCTTTGGGGAGTGGATCGATTCCATTGTTGAATTTTCCTCCAACTTGCAAAACATGAACATCGATATCTCTGCCTTCTCTTGCATCGCTGCCCTGGCTATGGTCACAGGTCAGTGTCCCCTCTTTTCCGCTCGGCCCCACCGGGCAGCTCCTTTTCCCTGCCACCGGCCTTTCCTCTCCGTGGCAGACCTGTAACGCGTCCCGCACCCTTCTCTTTTGCAGAGAGGCACGGGCTTAAAGAACCCAAGAGGGTGGAAGAACTTCAAAACAAGATTGTAAATTGTCTCAAAGACCATGTGACTTTTAATAACGGGGGGCTGAATCGCCCCAACTATTTGTCCAAACTCTTGGGGAAGCTCCCTGAACTCCGCACGCTTTGCACGCAGGGGCTGCAACGCATTTTCTACCTGAAACTGGAAGATTTGGTGCCACCGCCAGCAATAATCGACAAACTTTTTCTGGACACTTTACCTTTTTAAGACTCTTCCTGTGCACTTCCACTGAACTGAAGAGAAACTTCACCTGTCTGAAGGGGAATTCGTCTGGGCCCAAAGCAGCACCTCTGGGTGCCAGCTTCCCACCCCAAACAGTGTTGCTAACCTCCTGCGGGCAGAACGCGAGTGGGCATTTTGGCTCTGGGGCATCATGGATGCAGATCATGGACTACACAAATACCATGGTATAAACTTTTTATTATCAGCTTATAAATGAATTTATTATTAAGGACTTCTGATTAAAAAGATGAACATATCTGGCAACGCCGGGTGCGCAGCTAAGACTCATGCGGTGGCAAACAAAGTGTTAAGGTGACCCACAAGTCTCACCCTCCTAAAGACTAAAGTTTTCTGCTGTAAAAGAAAGCTGTAATATATATAAAACCTAAATGTTGCGTGGGTGGCATGTCATTAAAGAAGGCGAAGGCTTGTAAATTTATCAGATGCAGTTTGGCTTTTTAAAAATTATTCTGTGCCTATTTATGAAGAAATATGGAAAACAATTCTAAAAAAAAAAAAAAAAAAAAAAGGTTTGAAAAAAAAAAAAAAAAAAAGGGGAGAATAAAGAGAAAGAAAAATAAATCTCTCCATACCAGGAAAGCATGACGATTCTAGGGTGACAATGTTATAGGCACTTGCTATTTCAGTAATGTCTATATTCTATAAATAGTATTTCAGACACTATGTAGTCTGTTAGCTTTTATAAAGACTGGTAGTTATCTAAGCTTCAAACATTTTCTCAATTGTAAAATAGGTGGGCACAAGTATTACAAAACCTGAAATCCTCCCCAAAGGGACACATAGTGTTTGTAAACACCGTCCGACATTCCTTGTTTGTAAGTGTTGTATGTACTGTTGATGTTGATTAAAAAAGAAGTTTATATCTTGATTATTTTGTTGTCTAAAGCTAAACAAATCTTGCATGCAGCAGCTTTTGACTGTTTCCAGAGTGCTTATAATATACATAACTCCCTGGAAATTACTGAGCACTTTGAATTTTTGGTTTGTTTTGTTCTGTTTTTTTATGTCTAAAATTGTCGGTTAATATATTATTTTCCGTTCGAGTAATATTTTTAATATTGCCATATTCTGTAGTATTTTTCTTTGTATATTTCCAGTATGGCACATGAGACGAGTCACTGCCTTTTTTTCTATGGTGTATGACAGAAACGCTGATTTTTTTTTTTTTTTTCCTCCTGATAACTCTTTCTTTGAGAAAGACAATTTTAATGTTTACAACAATAAAACACGTAAACGAATAGAATTTCGTCTTCTTTCTGTCTAAGCGAGAAGCACCACCACCAGCATCCATTGCCCGTAAAGGACAATAGCCTCTGACAATGTAGTAATAAACAGCAAAGGCGAATGGATGGGGCAGTTCCCTTTCAGGACCGGCTGCGGCAGGACTCGCCGGCTCTGCGGGAGGAAGAGGAGGAAAACCTGAGCCTCGAAGGTTGGTCCTTTCCCCCATTTCCGCCCCCCCCCGGCATCTCCCTCGGCAGCAGCCAGACCCCCGCTCCCGCGGTGCGGCATCCGTCCCTCCATCCATCTCCCCGCAAAAGCAATTAGGCAAATTTCAGCGCGGGCTCTTGATGTCCCCACCTTGTCCCCCCTCATTTGAGGGAGGGCAGGAGGGATGCCTTGGTATTTTTTTTTTTTTTGAAGGGGGGGGGGGTGCTGTGCCTGCGCTGCGGGCTGTTTGCTGCCCTCCAAAGTCTCCAGATTCCTGGAAAGCTTTCCAGCAAAGCAAGGGGATTTGCTTCGGAAACTTCCCGGGAGGTGCCGGGAGCGGTGGAGGAGGGTGTCCCCCCCCGCCCCCCTCCCGGGGGTGCGGGTCCGGCGGCGATGGGGCTGCGGGGGGGGGGGCCGGCGGCGCCCCCGC